ATCACTTCTCGTATTACTTCCAAATTGGTATTCTAGAGATGAACACTCTTGTTGCTTCTAGTTTGGTGTCTCTAGATGTCCTACTAGTTTTTCTAATCTGTATCTTAAGCCATGTACTGCCATCATTCAGAGACCCATATCTTAAGTCAAATTAATATTTTTTGTTTTTTTATTTTACTATTAATTGTTTATATTTATTGTATATTTTAGTTTATAATCTTTTTTATTTAAAGTTAATTGTTATACATATAATACAGTAGTTTGTTTAATTAGATTTCATTTTTAATAATATTACAAAATACAATATATAGTAAGTATATATATTATATACTCTGATTTTTGGAAACTGAACTCTTTCTGACAATCACTTGAACCAAAATTTTCTACAGAAGAAAAACATAAATTTTTGCTAGAGAGTCATGGTCTACATAGTGGTTTGTCTAGAGGCCAACTGCTTTTCTAAGGGACTCCTCTATAAATAATATTTGGTATACAAGCCAAGAGCATTATTATACAAGATAATTGACGAAAGGTGCCCTTGTATAAAAAATCTTGGTGAAGAAGAGGACTCTGCGGACTAATCCTCCTTTTCCGTTGATGAAGCTATTAAACTATACTTCTTTGAAAACACTGGGGAATAACAAAATAACATGTTATTTCTTCAAGCCACAATCTTTTTACTTAGTCAAGTGGTTCCTTTTTACTTTTTGTCAGTTTTTCAAAAATTTTCGAAAAAATATGAGGATTTGGCTTACTCTCTCCAAAAGATCAGTATTGTTTACATCAATCAAATTCGAATGGACTCAGTGGAATGCAATCATGTGTTTGTTGTATTGACTAATATGGTACTATAGTACAGGAAAGAGATCGATACTCTCATTTAGGAGATTTCTAAGTTGAGTTGGTGTACAGAACGAGTTAATTCAATAGAGTCGAAGGCTTTATAATTGAGATATACTTTTAGTTGCAATTAGTATATAATTTTTATCTTTATGCTAAGCACAGGCTATAATAGTGTATCATAATTATTTTTTTTTTTTTATTTTTATTTTTTTTTATCTTTGTTTATTTATATTAGATTATTTTAGAATATGTTAAAAAGTTTTTTTTCCACCATAAGGTGTTTTTTTTCTAAAATATTTATGTTTTTTATAAACATGGCTTTATATTTTTACTTTTATATATGAATAAGGGTTTTATTTGTGTTGTCGGGCTTAGGTAGAAGAAGTCTAAAAGAAGAAGGAGTAGCCATAACAGGCGGCAAGGTCCACTGTTGAGAGCCAGGTCATATCCAAATGCAGGAGGGGTTCAGAAGGAGAGAAATCTTGCTATAGCAGGTCGAACATAGGTACCAATTGAGATAACCAGGTTAGTTTTAACTTGTAATTTAGGTAATATTAGGTTTAATACTACGGTGCTTGTTATTTAGAGATAATTCTCATATGCTATCTGCTGACTTGTTTAGAGTTTATTGCTTACCGGTTATAAATTCTATCTATAAGTCCTAGTTGCAAAATTTTACATATTCTAGATGAGTTGTACAAAGCCTAATAAAGTTATGGCATGACTGCCGAATTGTTAAAAAAAAAAAAAAAAAAACTCTAATTTTTAGAATTTATAAGTAAAGCTAATTTTTTTTAAACTTTGAAGCTAAATAACTTTTGATTTACTAGTCTGTTTTAAATGATTTTACTACCAAAAAGGTCATCTCTTTGAGATGACTCCAACAAGCCCAAAATCATAAAAATCCAATTACAGAATCAGGAGAAAATGTGCTATCAAATAAGATGACACATCTGTATAATGGAACAATTGGTCACCAATTGTTCCACTATGCAGGTGTGTTACCTTATTTGACAGCGCATTTTCTCCTGATTCTGTAATTGGATTTTTATGATTTTGGGCTTGTTGGAGTCGTCTCAAAGAGATGACCATTTTGGTAGTAAAATCATTTAAAACGGACTAGTAAATCAAAAGTTATTTAGCTTCAAAGTTTAAAAAAAATTAGCTTTACTTATAGATTCCAAAAATCGGAGCATATGTTGTTAATTATAAAATCTAAAATATTGAAATTCTTGATCAGATAAGCTTTTATTAAATATACATTTATGTTTATTTTTTGTTGCTAAATAATAATGTATATGATTTTTAAATATTACATAAAATTAGCATTATTTGCCCAATTGTTTGTATTTATTGAACTAAAATGCCTTTGAGGTTGTATAGTAGTTTTAGGCAAAATATCAAGATCAAAACCTGAAGTATTATACTTAATAACTATATTGTGGTGTCTCTTTAATCCTCTATTTGTGTTGTATAAATTTCTACATTGAAGTTACTAAATTAAAGGTCATCGTAAATATGATAAATTAATATACTATAAATTGAAGATCATTTCAATGTAATAATGCGCTCTATTGTTGTAATATTAAGGAATTTTGTTCTTCTTTTGGCAAGATTTAGGGTTTTACCGATAAAAGAAAGGTTTGACGTAAGAATTATATATGCGTCATGTGAATGACGTATATTATAACAATCAATCAAATAATAATTCGGGGTTTTTAATTTGGGCCCAATTCCAAAAATGCGCCCGCATGCATCATATTAGCTAGATGGCACAGTGGGATATTCATTGAGATATTATTAACGACGTTACCAAATATATCTATCACATGAATTGGGACCTCCCAAATAGTTTGGGTAACGTTTAGAAATCATATAAATGTTGTACAACTTTTTCATTGATTTCGATCTAATGAATAATATTTATTCATCGAATTGTATTGCATTTACGATCAGTAATAAAATACTAAGCTTAGATGACATCTATTAAAATTTATTTAAAATAAGTTACAAGATTCACGACTAAGGTGCTAATAAAATTTATTACAAGATATAGTATATATATACCTGTTAATAGTTTATTAAGTTTGGCGATTTTGGATGCAACTGACAAGTCAATGGTTTGGTCTTCTCCAAATTCGATCATCAATCCACCTAAAATTGATGGATTGATCTTTTATGAAATAATAATTATTTTTTTTTTTTGAAAAAAGAGAATATATATATATTGTTAGTAAAATCCTGGTTAGCCGTATAAATTAGATAATTACGCACTTTATTTTCAATTCGAAGTTTCTGATTCGGCTTCACAAATTTACTCTTGCTAAGTGTAGTTTTGAGTTTATCTAGAAGTTTGGGATCAAGTTCCTACATAACAAATATTATAAATACGTTGAATATATGTACAAAAAAAATTAAGACAAACCTTTGCAGTAATTATTGTGACAAAAATCTCTCCACGATGAGCTGCCATCAATGATGTATACGCGTCAATGATCTTTATAGTCACATTAAGCCTTCCGTTTTCTGCCAAAACCTGAAAGAAATTTTTTGTAGTATCACAATATTTTCCTTGTTTCAACAATTCTTGAACGCCTAATTTCTTTTGGTTACGATTTAAAGAAGGATCTTCAAGGAAATTACTGAGTTTAGCATCTTTTTTAATCGCAGATTTTACTTGCTTAAGTTCTGACTCAACGTTATTAAGATTATTCGTTTTGGAAGCTGCTGAAAATAAAGCTGTAGCATATCGACCATCAATCCCATGAAGGGTTATAGGAACCTATAAAATCAACGACGATATAAAACATGTTTGCATAATTGTTTACTATAAGGGAATTTTTACCTTAACTGGTGCTGGCGAGGCGAAACCTCGAGACAGCTAAATTATTTCCCAGTCGATAAGCTTAAAATGAATTTGAATGCATCTTTGCTAATCTTGTGACTGAATGAATCACCTACATATATACCTTTGGAATAATAGTAGTGATGTTTTGTCGAATTAAATTCAACGAATTCGACAAAGAAATTGAACTCATTTTTTAGCGTCGCAAAAATTGAATCAAACTGTCGATCATCATTTTGAACGAGCCGATTTATATGATTGGATAATTGGCTTATACATTTTAATAGGCCTGATATGGGTCACACCCGCATGACAGTGCACCTATACGTATACATAACAGATAACGAAAAAAAAAAAAAAACTACGTACGTATACGTAGTAATAAATTATTTATATATAGTATTAAGAAAAAAATTAAAATTTTATTCTAATGCTTTAGCCAGTATTTTGCGTGCAAGATTCAAAATTTAATGTGTAATATCATCTACTACTTAACCCAAAGTTACATATAATACGTAGCATTCTTAGTCCTCCTTAGTCCTCTTTTTTTTGTTGATCGTTTCTAGCATTTAGATTTTACATATAGTCGCACTCCCATAATAATCATATCATTGGAACGTTTTATATAGGGAGTGTACTTAGAATGTATATATTTGATACGTATAAAGAATTATTTTTATACATTTAATACGTAGTAGTTAATTTAGAGAAATAAATATGCTTATATAGGTGATTATATGCAGTGTTGTACATTGGATGAAATTGGACACTTTAAATCAGACTTTAATCCCAATAACTGATTATTTTATTATTGAATATATTTAAATTTTTTAGTATAAACACTCATTGGGAATTGGACTCATTGGACACGAAATCACTGATTATATGAGAGTGTGACTGTAGTTAATATAACCAATACTAGCAGCTAGCAATAATTTTAACTGTGAATTTACGTTCGTCAGCCACCGCGTTCCGCGTAAGTTTTGTGTTACCGAAACTACTAGAACACCGATTGTCAATACGTAATATCACAACTCTTCAGGGGCTAAATTCGCTTTGGTGAAAATTTAAATTTGCTTCAAAGTTTTCACTCTACTGCACTCATTATTTGCGGGTTAGGCTGTCGAAAATAATTTCGTCTATTTATATTTACATCAAGAGCAAAATAATTTAGACACTCATGTATACTGATCATGATTTAAAAATATCCAAAGAATTTAAGGAAAAAACCGTATTATCACAGTCTAATGATGAGGTAAAGAATATTGAGGATTGTGGAACAAAAAATCTTATTCTCGATGAAAATGAAAATATGTCAACTTGTTCATCAAAAAAACGGACTGCCACCGAATTGTACGTGGATAACGATTTAGATACAGGAAAGGATCCAACTGGTATACCTAAGAAACTTTCTAAAACTGACGACGATACTATACAAAATGAATTGGCACAAACTCCTGATGTTGATGATTCTATTGTTGATTCTAATGAGATTTCCATTGCTGAATTCTCAAAATCAAATGAGATTAAGGATGACAGTTTAATTACCACTGAATCAAGTGATGAATATATTACCGACGTTAAAACTTTGGATAAAAACATTGCAATTGTACAAGAATTATCTGAGAGGGTTGAAGTACAAAAAACAAATTTCAATAACAAATCTGATATAGAATCTGGTGTAGAAAAAGAATGCAAGCAAAATTTTGATAAATCTCCTTTTACCGGTCAGAATATAGCTGTTCAAAGCTCTGGTGGATTTGGAAAAGGTTATACACCACCTTCTATTACAACTACCAGAATATTTGGCAGTAATATATTACCGAAGGTACATTAATTAATAGCCTACATAAATGTTTATGTAGATTAATTACTTTGTTATGGACTGTAATCAATCAATTTTTAATTTATTTGCAGTCAGGTGGATGGGGAAAGTTTGGAGAAGGTTTACATGGATCTTCTACACAACCCTCTATCTTTGATGAACCAACACGTAACGATCGTAATGATGATGACGATGATGATGAAAAAGAAAGTGATGCAGAAGAATCGCCTTTTGGAATCGGTGCGAGGCCTTTATTACAAGAACAAGAAGGTTAGATTTTCAAATTTGTTAAATTTAATTTGTTAATTCTGCACAAATTATAATATTAATTTTTTTTGTTAGTAATTACCGGAGAAGAGGATGAGATTACTCGACATACTGTCAGAGCAAAGTTATTTTGTATGGATCGTAGTCATCAATGGAAAGAAAGAGGAGTTGGAATGTTAAAACTCAATTATCCAAAAGACTATGAAAAATTATCTCGACCACCTCGACTAGGTTTGTTTTTTATAACACCGTTATAAATATATTATTATGTTAAAAGATTTATTTCAAGCATTATTATATTGCAATTTAGTCATGCGTGCTGATGGTGTGCTGCGAGTTATTTTGAATATCGCTTTATTTCACGGAATGAGTGTTGAAAGATCACAAGAAAAATTTGTGAGAGTTGTCGCATTTGAGGGAACGAACACTACTCCAGTTCATTTTGCTATAAAGGTTCGTCGGAAATTCTCTGCTAAAATATTCTCTGACTATTTTCTTATTCGAACTTATTTTTGATAGCTTTCTAACACCAATGTTGCGGATGACTTATATGATGCCATACTGGAGGCAATACCCACATCTCAATATAAATCACATCAAAATGCTAATACTGTGGCTAGTGATCCTGACCAATAATGAAAAAATCAGCAGAAACTTAGCCGATTTATTTTTTCAAAAATTAGCTAGTCGATTTCTTATAATAATAATTCATGCATAAGCTTTTGATCATTACAAAAAGTTGTTTTATTTTGTTTTATTTTATTTTTTTGTATATTTATTGAGTCACACTTTCATGTGTAATATCCAATATACTTTATGTCATTAGAGATATGGTGCGTAAGCAAATAATGGATTTAGATCAGTGGGAAGTGTAATTAGCATTAAGAGTTAATTAGCGCTATAAAACATAAATCGTAATACGGTGTTTATTGACGGAAATCTGGAGCTCCTACTGGACTTTTAGATTTCCATTTTATTTGTAACGCTTTCCCGAGATCTTGACAGTTTGTGATGCGGTTATAGCCGGTCATAATCGTTCAGTAGGGAAGATGTCACACCGGGTGATAAATTATAATAAAGATTATAATAAAAACATATAAATTTACGAAAATAACCAGTGGTGATCATCACCACCCCTAATTATTTTTAGGGTTATGGTTAGGATATTAAGAATTATTTTTTTTTTATATAATATACAGAGTTGACCAATTTGACCAGTTGGTTAAAGGTTTAGTATTGGTCAAATTGGTCAAAGGATATTTAAATATATAGTATACATACATATATATATTTATGTATATATATACTGTATATATACTTTGTATACTAAATTTATTTATTTAATAAACTAGGCCATTTGACCAATTTGACTAGACCACTTGACCAAACCAGTTTTACTAATGAATTTTTAGTTGACTAGTGATTTGACCAACTCTGATAATATAATATAAAGCTACTACTGTATAAGGGCCCAATAGGGCCCGATCTTAGTTTTTGTGAGGTTTTAAACATTTTTACTTAGAGCAGTGTTGGGCTTGGACATATGTCCAATTATTTTTATGCTATTGGACTGGACATGGACATTGGACATATAATTGGACATAGTCCAGTCCAATAGTGTCCAATAATAGGATTTGGTTAAGATCACGTGATTAATATCCAATTAAATAACAAATTTTAGATAAACAATTAATATGAGGTAGTGTTCCTATAAACATGAACTGAACTGAACTTTGGTCAAGTTCAGGTTCAGGTTCAGTTTAATCAGGTTCAGTTCAGTGGCAAAACATAGTAAACAGTAAAAATATATTTACTAAATTTTTTTTTTGTCTTTAAAATTTTCGAATTTGGAGTTTTTCAACCAAACTTTTTTTCTTTACTAAGTAAACCTTTTTCAACACTTAAGTAAAGTTGTAGATGAGTATCTTGTGATTAAAATGGCAGTTAAAACATTAAAATCGATCTAGTAGATCGTGAGATATAAGTATGATTATATGTTTTCTTCTTTATATAAATAAAGAAGAAAGCATATAGTCGTGAAGATTAAAATGCTTATATCTCACAATCTACTGAGCCGTTTTAATGTTTTAACTACCATTTTGATCGCAAGACAATACTCTACAACTTTAAATAGAAGCTAAAAAGAGATTTACTAAGTAAAAGTTTAAAAATCACAATATTTTTATAATTTTATTAATAAAATTATAGAAAATATTAAAATTCATAAAATTGTATTAATTAAATCTATCTTTATGCTCTAAATAAACTTGTTCTATGTATAAAAATACACTATATCAATATAAGTTTACTATATAATTTTAAATTTTAAGTGAAAAGATGTTTAATTTTGAAATTTTGATCAAAATTTTAAAATTTAGCATCTTTTTTCTTAAATTTAAAATTATAAGGTAAACATATATCAATATGGTGTATTTTATATGTAGAACAAGTTTATTTTTTATTTATTTATTTTTTTTTATTACTTCGGCAAGTCTAGACGTGACTTGGTCCAGCTATCTTTATAGTTGACCCTACGCTACTAGTGTCACAGGACCTCCATAATTTCCATACGAGAATCATGTGTATCCACCTGGGATCCATTGCCCGCCATTTTTCCGGTTCCCTTATTGGGCCTAGATCCGACCGCCTGCACAACACTTCGGAGAGGTCGAAACACCTTAATATTAGACTGGGATTTCACTAGCCAATCTGGTGGCGCTACGAGTTCTTGTAGTATCTTCTCAGACTTTGGCTTTACAGTACGTCTCATGACTTTGGTTATTCCAAATCGGGTTCTAACACGCCTCGCTTCACAGCCACAATTTCTTAGAATAACTATTCCTCGAATACGTCTATCTGTAGATGTCCCAAGTTCCCTGTACCCCGCGGTGTTCACTTCCATATTTGGGTTTTCATTATTTTGCCGCTGGGAGGAATTGAACCGGCAACCGTCCGATTTGCAACCTGGGAGCATAACCGCTATGCTATCGACCCGCAAGTCTAAAAAATTTTAAATATAAAATGTGTTAAAGATTATTAAAAATATATATATATGCACAAAAGTAATAGAGTATATATATGTATACAAAGCAGATCACAACATAATAGTTTTTATTCATCTACAAGTTTTTTTTTGCTTTATACAGTTCTATGGCTTAAAATATAGAAGAATAGTACTTAAAAAAAAAAACTTGCATTAATATAAGCTTGCTAATTAATGAAATAGTTCTAATAAAAATTTTTTTAAAGTTGTATAGATTTTGATTAGATGGTTGATTTACTATATGTTGATCATATGACTAGTATTAATTGACCTGCATATCCTTTAGATCGTCATGTTAATAGTTATCTCACTTTAGCAGACACCTGTTTATTAACTACCCCAACTGATTTCTGCTATCATGTAGATCTTGTGTAATATTAATACTGATAGAATGATAAGTATTTAATTGTAATAATGTATTTTTTTTATTTATTTATTTTTTTTTAACGTTAAGGAGACCTTTTTGGCCTGAAAGCTTTTATTAGAATTTGAAACAGTGTTTTATATACAATTACAACAATGGTACATCAAGCCACATATGCACTTTTTAAGTGTCTAATTTAAGTAGTCTGCCCAAAGATTTTACACTATCTGCCATATCTGCACTCCAATTAGGGGGGTACTCATTTAAACCATCTGGTTACAACTGCCACCGGTTAACCACCTAACCCAGGTTTCCTTACTATTTATATATAGATTTTGGTATTACTCTAGCAAAGAATTACTGACTACCTTAAGACTTACCAA